AATAATCATCTTACGAACATTGCCCTACGCGTCAACAGCTTTGGGATATTTGTTGGTGCTTGTAGAAGAATCCCGAAAGTACTATCCTGTGATATCTTCACCCCGTTCAATGATCATCTGGCTCTGATTCCCTCTACCATTTGCCCAACTTATCCTTGTCCCAAAAACTTTCGGATCTTTTCCAGTTAAGCCCCGTCACCCAAAAAAGATTATGAAAAGGGAGGATATGGAACTTGAACTTTTACTCTCTATTGAAGAGGGTGAAATTGAGACAAGTCATTAATAATTTGCATGAAATGGTCCATTTTTCGGTGTCTTTGCCTCCAAACGAACTCACACAGATAACTGTCCACTAAAGATCGGTGTGTGCTGCATTGGCGCTTATTCTGCATCTTGTAAATGTGCCAGAGAGATTCGATGGTTTGTGTGTGAGCTCCAGTCGTTGAATCCACAAAGTTTTCGGTATGATTAACCGTTTGATGAATATAACTCATGCCAATCATCGATTCAATGCCTTGGTATGATGCCAAGATATCGGAAATGATAATTGAGCCGGGAGCGATGCAGGCCTGGATTATGTCCAGCAGAGTGGCCGCAGTTCGATCTGGCACTGCATACAAGAACACTTCTTTAGTCTCCCGGCAAATCCCTCCGAAAATCCACTGCTGGGGAAGGACTCGCCCTGCATGGTTTTTACGACGTGATATTAGGGTTCCATCGATCTCGACATGTAGACCTGGGCCGCTGACAATCGTTGGAGTCTGCAAAAGCTGCCAGGCGCAAATTTCACGCAGAAAGTTCTTCCAGTCGACAGCGGTCGCGTGGCCAATAGATAACTACTCTGAGCAGAACTAGATTGTTGTCAGATTTTTGGACCAGCAATAAATGAATAGGTTTATTGTCCTGAAATCCATCCTAGACCGCTCCATCCAAGTTCCCCTTCGAAGACCGATTTCTTGCCGACACTGTCGAACATCACACCTCCACCTGTCAGAAAAAGTTGAAAATGTCATTTGGTGTCCTCTTCTGCATAAACGTTGATGATGAATCACTCCATGGCTTTGCAAAAAACGTATTGCTGTTTCCTTGTCATGAATGACCGCCGAAAGCGTCAGAAAGTTCGTGTCAGGTTTTACGTGCGAACGTAGAAACTTTTTGGACAAAAATGACCTTAGAAGCGGATAATGAGTGTTTTTATGGGGCACGTTCACATGCATGACGTACACTGGAGCTGGCAAACAGTGGCGGGTCTCAACTTTTCACGCGTGCCCTTTTTGCACTATTGGTGGGGCTTGACTTTTCAGGTGTACCCTTTTTGCCTTAGTGGCGGGGCTTAACTTTTTGCGCGTGCTCGTTTTGCATTAGTGGCAGGGCTTAACTGGAAAAGATCCAAACTTTCTCTGGCTCATCGCACAGTAGCTTACCTGCATTGGATTAATTACGTTCATTTTGCTCTTTGAGAATGAGGATGACAAACATTCAACCACGGTTAACGTATTTTCCTTCTCCAAAACAAACCAATATCGCTACACATAGAAAAGCCCAATGTGTTCTCCGTGCACTTATACTGTTTCATTCTGTTCACTGTGCTCACTACTGTTCACCGCATGTGACCTGTCAATATTGCAACGTTGTTGTGACTGAAGGTCACACATTGAAACCGTTTCGTTTGATAGGCCTACTGTTTGTTCCTTTCTTTTGTACATAGAGTTGACACACAATGCCATCACTGCGGGTAATGTACGGATTCTCACACCCACTGCTCATGGGTAAGCTTCCTACTTTCAGATTGGTCCTGTAAGCCTATTCTTCTGTCAAAACACGCTGAAACGTTGATTCCCCACGTGTTTTTTGAAGCCAAACTTGTTGGCTATTTTGGCCATTGCCGTTGTTGAAACATCTGTGCCGGAAGCATAGATTATATAAATATTGTATTTTTGTAGTTTTTATTCAATTGCCAATATTACCGTGTTCCGTTAACTTAGATGCTTTATTGATTTCGTTGGAAGCGCTTTAAACTAAGACTTCTAATCTATTTGTCGCCTACAGTGTCTACTGTTACTTTTACGAGTTTATCCTTTGGGTCAGTTCATAACATAGAAGGGTTAAGGCGTTGTGTATGTTGTCACGTATCCTAGATTTTTTTGTTCAATTGGATTTACCATACGCAACACTACAAATATCACAGTTTGCTATAAGAATTAGGCGAATTAACAAGTTGCGGTGCTTGACATTGATATGATAACTCCATGACCAAATGACAGATTACATGGTTAGGTTGAACGTAAGCAGGAAAGTGTCGACATTCCCGAAAAAGTGCAAACATACATGAATGTGGGCCAAAGCAGTTGCTACCGTGTCACAGAGCATTTATGCGATAACGTGACCGAAATACCAACGAGACCCACATTGGTGAAAAAAGTGGCATTCAGCCGCAGATTTCAGTTGGCTGACTGGCTGTTTCCGAGGAATCCGATGTAGAAAGATAGTAAGTTACGGAAAAGCAACATGCAAGTTGTGCTTTGCAGCGCAAGTAAGTGGTGTCATTGCCAGTATCGGTTGTGTATTTAATCGCCATTTTCGCGTCCTACATACCTCTGTCTTAAAACGTGCCACTTTTAACGCAATGATTTGATTAAGTCGTTTTTGCTACTCCTCGTGAAGCTTCATTTAAAAAACCTCTAATTCGGTTATTTTTGGTGTGTAGTTGCCAAATATTTTGGTGTACTTGTGTGAAGCGCCAGTTCAAGCATAAATGCTTCAAGCTTACTCCACATCCCGCGGACCACCAAGGGTTACTATGCGACTGACTCAGTACGCTTTACAAGCTTTTCTCAGTATGCAAACCCTTTCAATGCAGCAACAAGTAAACAGCATAGATAAGTAAAACGCAAGGTGGTTCGTTATATATATATATATATATATATATATATATATATATATATAAATTAAGGTCATAGCGAAAGTGGCGGGGATAAAAATTAAATACAACGGAGCGAAGCTAGGAGCAGAACGGAATGAAGCAAAGTCAAGATGCCAATTATCGGCACAATGTTTTAGAAACCAGAACTGCTCGCTTCATACAATAGGTTCCGAACTCCCGCACAGCTAATTTGGTGCTGTCACTACCATCGAACAAACTCTCAAAAGCCTTGGTTATCAAACAGTGAAACCTAGACGGAAAGACCTGATCTCACAGCCATGTGGTAGGACAGCGCAGATAGAGGTATCTTACAACAGACTAGATGAGCGATGTATATCCTAACGCTGGTGCTGAGTCGCATGATTATAAAGCTACTGTTTATGAAAAACTATAACGCACTGGTCTACCTTAGCAATCTGAGCTTGACACCATCCGGTTTCATACTCGACGGTTTTGAGCTTCATATGGAAGCCACCGTTGATGAAGCATAGTGCAAGGCTGCGGTGAGCACCCTTATCAAAAAATACTGCTTGAAGTTCACAGGTAATGGTAGAAATGAAACCTAAAGTTAGTGATGATCGATGTTAATTACCAGCGACTTCTAAAACCCTACAATGAATCCCCAAATATCTGCTACTCAGCAACCAGCTGACATCCTTAACAAACAGATATGCTTTCTCATTGTGGTTTCGATCAGAAAATTGTTTGTGATTCAGGCATTTGGAATTTTATTTCCTCGAAATTTAAATCATTCATCGCAGAATTTAGTCAAAATGAAAATGGACAAAACGACTGATTAAGGGCTGCAAAGCAATCAAAATATCTTTGATGTATAGCAAGTATACCAACGGAGTTCAAACGACAAACCTGTTCATGGAATTTGTCTAGCATTAAATAAACCATGATATACACAGCAATACACATGTGATGCTCATCGTTCCACTATTATTCCACAATTGACATTAGTACCAGATTGTTCCGGGGAAGATCCTCATGACCAAACTGCTGTTTTTTTGATGAGGCTCGACACCGCTTTGACGAAAAGTAAAATATCACGATCGCACGCTTTTTTCTTGGTATTACTGGTAGTAACTGCATTGTTGAGAGAGACATACGTGCTCCTGTGGGGCACGATAGGTGGGTCGTACCACGAGACGCCTATCTCATAGGATTCGAGAACACATCCAAAATGGTTTTACAAAGGCCAAGCGAGGTCGAGTAACAGTTCCATCTTATCTCACCTTCTAGAGTGCAGTCACGCAGGAACGGAAAGTGATTTTAGAGTCATCTATACTGTTCCTGAACGTTTCACGCACGGATTCCGGATGCATCTTCCATCTATCGCGGAAGCTATCTACATCCGCCATTTCAAGCCAGAATTATGCGTACAAAAACAGTTTGTACGTCCTTTACTTCTACCGTGGCCTACAACTTCGGATGTGATTTCCCTTGTACATACTTGCCACCTACAATGACCCAGTGATTTAATGATTTGTACCCGTGAAATTAAACAGTGTTCAATACGCAGCCTAATCCGGCATATTTAGCATTTTTCTTCATCATGTAATGTTTGAGTCCGATGAGAATTACCGAAAAGAATTCTTTACACTTTAAATGCTCATGGGACTGGTCGTGGAGGACAGCTATTCTGGCAACTGAAGATAATTATTGTTTGGAGAGAGTTTAGTATAAACTCTGGTAAAGGCTAAGTCCGAATGCATATGAATAGCGTTCGGCCATTTCAAGAGCTAAGTAAGAAGTACCTGGTTTAAAAGATTATCCACAACTATACATTAGTAGCATATAATAAGCTTTGTAAAGTGAATGCCACTACAGTGTCGGTAATGCGCGCAAGAAATCCATCATTTTACGGAATCATGAAGTTAGAAAAGTTGAGCATCTTGAATACTTCGTTTGTGTGCGAGACATCCCCACACAATATCTAAGTTACCTTAATGTTTACCACCGGAATATGGCATATTGCGATACCCGGCGCTCTCATAACGACAGAATTCCTATTTCTCTTTTCGAATATTCGAACACATGAAGTGCACACAGCAAAAAGCGTCGTACCTACCAGGATTCCTGTCGATGATACGGTAGACTGTGTCAGGCAGACAGTTTTCTTCCAGTGCGCACTCCAGCAACCACAGGCTCATTCGCTGTACGTATGACGAACTCTCCAAACTGTATCGATCTGGTACCAAATCTGGCAGACCTCGGGGTGAGAGAATAAAAATGAAATTTAGCATAATGTTTTCCATTGCATCGAGCATACTTTAAGACTATAGAAATGGGCTACTTACCTTAGTCCAAACCATGTCACAACTATTTATTTAGTAAGTTAAATAGGTCGAGATAGTCTTCACTGTTTCAGGCATGGGTATCCGAACTGAGTCTGCAAACGCGTTCGTTTCCACTGGTTAGGCATCAGGTTATCACATCCTCCCTGAATAACAGAGAACTTTACATATTAGTTCATGCTCAGTGACGAAAGTGTTCTGATTTCCAGACTGCGTGGTCGGCACCGAAGTGCATGTGGATGGTGTGGTATATGTATTTTGAAAGTGCGGTATGGAGCTAAGGTATACCGTGTGTCAGAGCAAATTTGTTCTGGCTACAAAGCACTTGTTCCTTGAACCGACTGCTGCAACTATACTGCTTGTATGTAACTGCTAAGTACAAGGTAGATGAGATAGAACGCCGCAGGCGCTTTGGTTTGTTGAGGAGTATCTAGCAGAAGTCCCAGTATGGCACTTGTTTCCGTGCTGGTTGTTCTGTTACGCAGTTAACCTTGGTAATCCTCACGATGTTTCTCAAGCCATCCTCCAGTGGTTGTTGCAATGATTCCTGATGAATCCGAGCAATCGAAAGCCATATACAGAGAGTAACACCTGGCATAAGAGTCCCGCGGTTGAGTGGGTGAAAAGAACTGGTTCTAGAGTGACAACTAGCCGTAAGTTTGACCAATTACGACCGAAGGCTTCATGGTTTTTGAGGCTAGTATCTCATCTTCTATGAAAAATAACGAATGATAGACCGGTTATTATCTGACTAAACCGACGCAGCGTTTTTCTTTCGGGGATCCATATTTCCATGGACAAGGATTTCAGGACGGTCGTTTCTCCATTATGAGCATCATATGTCGTAAAATTATGTTAGGAGCGCGTACTCGCTGTAAATGTTGCTTGCTTGTCCAGTATAAATTAGAGATACTTTTCCTATTTTGTAGATAGTTCATTCCAATTTCTGTCCCTACGAACCATCTACTAAGGCAAGGTTTCCGATCTACCAATTATCAGGGCGTTTCTAAACGACGCTGTGTTGCTGTATCCAGATCCGAGGGTCAAATGTATGTTAAGATGATGTACGCTAAGATGACTTACCTCTTCCTTTGTGCAACCTCGACTGTCTGGAACGCAGTTATATTGCAAGCATGACGTTCGTAGTGGGACAGGTTGTTAATAACACCAACTAATTGCGTGTTCCACCTCAACTTCCGTTTCCTTTGTATTCAATTGGCCATGTAACTGAATACTCCCGGGATATGAACAGTGCGTTTACAACTGCGCGTACAGATGCATAGGCAGCCGAACCAAGCCTGCTTGGGTGCAATGTACTCTCTCTACCCGCTGGGTAGCTTTACACATTTCTGCTCTTGGTTAGAATTTAACAGTTTAAGTTGGTTGTAGTATCATACACCTAAAAGCTTATCCGTTATGCAGTCTTGAAACTCACTGTTCGGTGAGAGTTTCTAGGTGGAACTTAAAGGACGCCAAACTTCGAGAATGCTTGCTGCGTGGGTAGATGGATGGGCTGATCCAGGGAAAAACTTGCAACATCCTCTTAGTTAGGGTAAAAGTCAGGGCTTTAAAGCTCCTACAGCTGCTTTATGTGTAAAGCAGTGTTAAAGTTATGCTTATTAACTCAGGTTTGCCCAACCCTCTAGCAACAGTAACTTCAACTTTGGGACCGATGAAGGCCGAACAACAGCCCACATTTTCGTGTGCATTAGCAACTACTATGAGTAAACAGAAATGAAATTTTTTGATGCCAAGCATTTCTAAGAGCAATAGCATCTAAACGCAGGTATTCCAGAAATACGCTTAAGGTAAAAGTCCATACCATAGAGCACAAACATACCACGTTTAGGAATAATCTTGCTTATCCCCGCTCTACTCTACCAGTTCTCCGCAAAGTTTTCATTCGTTTCCTTGCGTTATGAAAGACGTGGCTGCGTTCATAAATCCACCTAGCTGTGCTGAGCTAGCCGAGGTGGATAAGACTGGAAGATTGATTACTAACCGAATAGTGTAATAAAACTACTTTGCGATGCAGTAACCATGAATTCAAAGGTGCATGTTCGGTAGAAAAATGATATATAACTGAAAAATCATTTCTTTGATATGATCCACGGTCCTTGAAGTTTATAGCACTAAACGAACAGACTACGTGTGCTCAATGACAGAAAAAGGGACCATACCACCGGTAAAAATATGCCCGTTAGCACAATACCCGAATCACCGATGAAACTTAAGCCACTAAGAGTTTCTTCTTTCCTCAAACTATGCCAACAGCATACTAACCCTCCAGAATCGTCCCATTTCAATGCAAGCTAGGCATTGACAGTCGTCAGCTGACTTGTCCAAGCAGCTAGTGTTTTAGAAGATAAATCTCAGTAAGAAAGTGTCTTATTATTTGTAGCAATACTAATTAGATACTACGAACTTTTACTCAATTGGTACTTACTTTCTTATAACTTTGTCACTATCCTCATCAGATTCGATGCAGTTCGCAGCAACGTTTCTATCTCCAAATCTAATAGTTGGTGTCAATTCTGGCAGTCAATTTTAGCCGACAACAATGCTTTGCGACTGTGACTGTAAGAAAAACCATTCCCACAGTTCTCTTTTTATGAAGATGAACTTTTCATGACTGTTCATTCGACACAAATAAATTTTGTTTATGGGACAGAAGATGTCTGACGTAAAGCGAGAATATTGCTTGCTCATATTGTACCACGCACTCTACTCACCTAATAATAGACTGGTCGCAGGTTGCTGAATGTTTTCCTTCACATTTAGCTTGGGCGGACTTAATGACTTTGCAAACATTTTAAACATTTTGGCCTACACAGTTGGTATTTTTGGACTTACTTGTTTATATGAGCTGATTGCGACAGATAATCTCAATTTGGACAGCAATTACAGTTGAGTTTAACCTGGGCCGTATTGCTAACTGGCACCGTGGTTTCAGGTATAAACTACGACTGGTAGTACTAGCCGAATGCATCAGCTGGAAATCATCACACTCCTCGTTTGACTCACAGTGCTATCTATAAACCAGCAATGCTAAGAAGTACGAAACCGCATATCAACTGCAGGCTTGGGTGCGGGTAAACTTTAACAACCATTGTGACTGAAATGACCCACATTCACAACAAAAGGGCTAGCCTTATTTCTATCACAATCTTACACAGGACAATTTTACGTCTTCGAGGTGTGTTTATAGCAATTTAGCAACTCTCCAGATATCACAACCTTGCTTACGTCAATTAGTGTATCTCAACCGCAACATCACCCTGATAAGCTGGTACTTACAGTTCATTAATCAGTATAGTCGATGTAACTACAGCTTAAATGTTTACTTGTTTCCTGTATGGACGTCGTGAAACCTTGTTCCGACTAATACAATTTCCACTACTGCGTTGCGGGAACAAAGGAAGTGATTTGATAACGTAATACTACACTTATATTACATAACTTAGCTCAAGTTACTACGTCAAAGCGGACATAGCTAAATTATATGCCCAAGTAAGTCGTCCAATAAGCCCATCGATAGAATTTTATTATTTTGACATATTTTTAGCACTATTTTTACCTAGAGAATTGTTAAGTGCTTGGTAGCTTGCCCTGAAAGACTTCACTGTTTCACCCTTTCAAGGATATTGCACGTCACAAAACGCTGCTGAAAATGATGCCCTAAACAAATGAAGGGTGATCTATAGCCAGCGACGCGGTCCGTGGAGTCTTGTGTGGCCATGGTAAGTGTCAACCATGTTCAAATCTCATGGAGACAGTTTTTACCTGATTAGTTCAAATGTGAATGAAGTTGGCAGTGTTGAGAGAAGGAAACACCAAACAGATACACACACTTCCGAGGATTTTTGAACTAGCCAAATTGTAACACAGTATCACAGAAATTCAATGGAAGCCTAACGTTAAGTGCAACTTGAAAATCGTAGGGAAAGATGATGTTGACACACAGTAAAGGTGAGAAATGGAATTGAAATATTTTCGTACCCCCAAGTTTGCATTAGAAGCATTCGGTTTTTCTCTCCCAAATTTATTGAGATCAACTTTTAAAACAATAGATTGGCTGGCGCTCTTGGCATTAATTGTATGCCAGCTGTCTACCAAATCCTCTGATAAGCATGTGAAAGTGAAGCAGCCTAAGTTTTGGATCAGGAGCTTCAAATTAATTATGACACAGCTGCAAACACTGTCGTCAGTTGTCAGAAGCTGCCACGGTTTGACAGAAAACGTCCCCTTCATTATGGTACACATGTTCTCTGCTTGTGTTACGTCACACTAATCCCCGCTTCCTTCGGTGTGTTGAGGCCAAAGCTATGAGGCGGATGAAGCCAGCCCTGTGCGTTCCGAAACAATTATTTGTCAGTTTAAAGCTGCCTTGGACGTAGGTGTGAACTTCGTCATTCGTTCTGCACCTCAAGCTTGTCTAGTTGCATCCACTGTTAGTCATATCTATGCATACCGATAGTTGTTAATGGTACTGAAGAGACGATACGTAATCTACCAGCCTTCGTCTTCTTTCCGTGCTTTTGAAATTAAGTATGACTACTTCGTGGCTAGAGAGTATCGGATAAGGAAAGATGTTTACCGGCACATAACAGGCGTAAAGCGGCCAGCGAACAGCTTAGTGATCAGAAGTAATAGGAGCAGAGTCAGACATATTTCAGTTACAAAGCGAAAAATATGTACCACACACTAGCTTCAGGCAGCGTCATGGCGGCCACATCATCTAAACCTGGCATGAACTGGAATAAGGTCAAATAATAAAGTGCAACCGTTCACCAACCGATAAGATGGTCACACCGAAGAGCTCCCTTTGTGTGCAAAATAAATATTTTATTCTTTTTTCTAACGTAAGATTTTAGTGGACATACAAAACAAAAGCGCACTTAAATCACGGTTCAGT